TTTTAATGGAACTTTTTGTTTTTCCTATGTAAGAAAAACCACATTTATAATCAAGCTTGTACACTACTGCATCTTGCAGAGGGTCATTACACTTGACGGTTGGTAAAAATAGACTAATCTCCATCGGCGGCTTGTATTATGGATGCCTGATTCAAAATGTAACTAATATTGTTTATGACTTCTCTGAAATATGGTAGTACATATTAATTAACGCGATAAAATCCGTATAATTATTATATTATATTTATATGCTCCTCACAAACTGAATTTTTCATCCGAATATCTGCATGGGCTCGTTCAAATCCTATCAAAAATGATTTTATCTTCCTCTCACTAGTTCATTATTCTCGTAGTCGTTCTAGGATTGACGCTGGCTTTATGGCAGAGATGTTATGGCTTTATTGTCGGTAGGTTGAGAATATATTGTTAAGTGAATAATATTTTAAAATTTCAGCTCCATTGTTACACGCAGCTCGACACCTTTAAGCCTCGAAAGTTTTAACGTACAAATTGTGGTACGAAATCAAAATGATAGATTACAAGAATTTTCATCCATTTAATAAAATATTAAACAGAAACAAAAACTTTTCTATTCAATATATATTATAAATGATACTTTTTAAAAGGCACTATTCAGTTTGATTTATTACTGATTCGGAAAAATCCTCTGTCCTTGGAAGAATCAACAAGAAACGGGATGCAAGAAGCGGGACTTCTGTTAGTATTTTTGACAGGCTACGCAGAAAGTTTTGTAAAAATAAGTTTGCTTTTGGTATAACACACCATTTGGAAAATATAAACGAGAATTTATTGGTAAAATTAAGAATGCTCGAATTACAAATTTCTCTGCATATTTTACAAGCTAAATTAAAATATCGTAAATTGAAAAATGGGTCTGCGTCAACAATATTTTTGCGCGATGTTTTTTTACGATTTCAAATGTTGCCTAATATTTTCATTTGCCCGAATCTTTCGATAGACTTTCAATGCTATTTACTGATAAAGCCCTTTGAAGGCAACCTTTTACTGCGGGTACAACAAATTTCAGCAAGGTTGATAAAATTTGAGGGGTGAAGCTAGTGGGAGGCTTTGACTGCTATTCCAAGTTGAACAAGTTGAACAAGTATAAACACATTTAAGTGTTATTGCAAATTAGCCTTAGGAATCGCCTGCAGCCATCCAAATTATAGCTCAAACAAAGGAAACTAAGACTTTCATAGTAATTAATCCCCAATAATGAAATTAAAATGAGGGCTCCGTGGCAGTGGCTTAGCACTGAGTTGCGGCACTGAAGGTCACGTGCTCGAATCCAAGCATGGAACAAGTATTTGTATAAACTATAAAATATTTGTTCCGGGTCAATTATTTGTAGATTATACAAATACTTGTCTAGATGTTTGTCCTTGTATTTTGTATATCTGTAAACTGCCTCCACCATACAGAAGAAAACCCTAGTGTGGAGGTAACATTTTATTAAACAAAAAAGAAATTATTTAAGACTATGTATTCATCGTTATTATTTCTTCATAAATACGGATTGCACTATACCTGATGTTGCTTCGCTGCGATGGTAAACCGGCCTATGTCAGTGTAGATTTCGATGGCCTTCAGGAGACAATAGACCGCCTCTGTAATATTGTATAAGCACCTAATTTAATGAAGAAATTATCCAATAGATCCATACCGTTACAACATATTAAAAGTCTACTGCTTAAGCATAGGCTATAATTTGGCTAATAGGGCTGATGGTTTCCATGCTTGGCAAACGAGTTAGCAACTGCGGATTTTTTTTATTTTTATTGGTCATTAAGATGCTGCTGCCCATCTCCTGATTTGTTTACCTCTGTCGTCTGTTAAGACAACCAATAGATGATACAGAATAGTGGATATTTTTACACCGCCACTACACGGTATGCACAGAAAAACAGATAAAGAATTTATGGCCTAATTTAACATCTTACTATTTAAAAAATTACTTTTTAAGGAAGGAAATGTGCTAGTAGTGCAAAATTTAATTTAACCCTAGATCACTAACCTTATTTTACAACGCTTATTACTAACCTTCGTCGTTTCGACTACGCCGTATAAAAGGGAGGCTTCTAAGGGTTTATGGAATAAAATATTTATATGTGTTATACTTATTTATTACAATATCATTTGTTAACATGTTTATAAGTTTTTTATTTACTAAAATCACATTTTAATTACTTTGACAGTCTTTTAATTGAGACCAGAGTTTTTACTCATTTGAACATTTTTGTTTTTTTAAATACTTAATTCTTATTAACGAAAAAAAACAAAGACTTAAAAAAATATTAAAATATTAAAATTAAGTAATAAAATCAACAAAAGAAAGAAACATTTTAGAAAAAAACTATTAATTAATACATTTGTGACAAATTTCAAGTTTGTGTTCGCCACACAAGGATTTGTTGCACTTGGTGCAACAACTCTTTGTCATTCTTCGCTTTGCGGAGGGGCAAATTGCACAAATTTTTCTTTTTTTGGCGATAGGAAGACAAACTGTATCTTCTCTTTGATCAGTCTCATGTGTAGAAGTAGAACTACTGGTTCCTGGCATATACAAAATCGCTGTTATTGAGTCCCGCAGCCCCGTTTGAAGTGTCGGAATTTGTAATCTTTTTTGCATGTGTGGCTCGACTAATTTTTGATGCAGAGTTTTCAAGTACTCACGCCTCGATAAAGGTTTTTTATTAGCCTCCAAAGTATTGGTTACATATATAACATAACTATTTATAAATGCAATGTTTAGCATTCCGTAAAAATTACATAAAGGCCAACGTCGAGTTTTTCGGCTGCAAGAAGCGAGAGAACACATATGGTCCAAGGTGTCTACTCCGCCCTTAGTTTGATTGTAAAACTCGACCATCGTGGGCTTTTTGGTCAATTCATCAATTGTCCCTTCCTCATCACAAGTCGACAATAGGAATATTGTCTTTTGGGGCTTTGGCTTATATGAAAGCAATGTCAGTTCCTTGTCATAACAGAAAATAGCTGTTCCTGTCTTACGGGTACGCTCGTGCTGTAATTGTAACGGTATCTCCCTTTTGTTAGCACGTAGAGTCCCAACCAATGTCAACTTATACGGTTCTTTTACTAAACTTTTGGCTAGTGGTACCGAAGTGAACCAGTTGTCCATTGTTATATTTCTATTTGTGCCGTGCACAGTCCGTGTCAATTTTTTGACAAAATATTCGCCAAGCGGAAATCCATCAGTTTTAGTAAAAGAACCTAGATAGGGCTCGGCATCCACCATATACTTTGTAGAATTATCTACCAACATTACAATTTTCACACCATATTTGTTGGGTTTATTTGGAATATAAATTCTAAAAGGGCATCTGCCTCTGAAACCCAATAACTGTTCATCAATGGTAAGGTAGCAACTAGGTTTATAGTTCTCTTGACATGCAGTTATAAAAAGATCCCACATATCTCGAAAAGGGGCATATACATCAGTCAATCTTCGCTGTTCGCGCGTAGACTTATCGTCAAACCTGAGACAGTTTATAAGAAAATCAAATCTCTCATTAGACATAGTACTTCGGTATCGATTGCCACAAAAGGTAACATCAAAAAGCTCCCTTGATGGTAAATGATTATCCTTCATTGCTGCAGATAACGTAAGGATCCCGATCAGAGCTCTTATTTCATTGGAATCTGTCTGTCTCTGGGTGGCTTTTACATCCTTGTATTTAACGCATTTTATGGCTATTTCGGCATTAGTGTGGGTTACAATTAAATCAATCATACTATCAGTTATAAAAAATAAAAAGCAAGAAAGCGGATCTAGTTCGTTTTTACAATTATGCGTGGGCCCAGGTCTAATATGAACAATATTTCTTGAGGCTATTCGGCTTCGTGAACTCGGTTTCACTGATGACCATTTGTGTTTATCTTTTCCGCGAAGAATATTACTTGTTGGTGTAATAATTAATTCGTGTGGCTGACCTGAAGTACTAGGTAACGGGTCTTCAATTGATGAAGATGTACTTGCCTGGATGTCTTCAGTTGAAGGTGGTTGTTCTGTCACAGAAAAAATCTCTTCCTCACCGTCTGTTTCATAAGCTGGATCAGCCTCAAGGTGGTCTTCTATTTCACTCTCAGAGCAGTTTTCTTCGTCACTATTATTATCTAATAACAGCTGACGAATCGTATCTAAAATAAAAATATATTCAAATTAAAATAATGTAAGTTCTTATTTCAGTGTAGGCAAATTAAGTACAAAGTTTACAAAACACCGAAATACATATAACACCAAAAAAAGAATGAAAAATAACTTTGCAAGAATAACGTTAATACTAACCTTCGTCGATTCGACGACTCATGATGGCTGGAATGGCGTACACAGGTCCCCTACACAAAAAATACACTCGTGGGCCGCGCGAGCTACGTGTCAACTGAGATTAGCCGGAATCTGGAATGCGAACGACGACGCACTCAAAATTTATACCACTTTTTTTGAGTCCGCGTCGTCGTTTTGACGAAGGTTAGTGATCTAGGGTTAAAATTTAAGTGAAGACAAGTAAATATTTAGCACAAATTGCATATTGGATCAGCAAGAGTTCATTATATTTTATACAAACACCTTCATTTTAGATCGTGCTTACGACATTATATAACTTTTTATAACTTTTTCATAACATATTCTCGGTGAACCGATTTTGACGAATTATTATTTGAAAGCTGGTACTTCTCGTGTGGTCCCACATAAATTTGATCAAGATTTGATCAGTAACTTTTGAATTATCATTAATAATGCGTATTTAATTTACTTCAAATACATTGATGATGTTCTCATTTTATTTATATTGAAGTAGGTTGTACATTTTTTTTACTACTTGTTGTTGCCAACACCATCTGAGTGGCCCACTAACATGAAAACACTTCTAAAAGCACATACTAAGTATACGTTCGAATGGTATAATGAGTGATTAATCGAAGACAAAGGTTAAAAAAACTATCTTGACTTTTTTCAGTTACCTGGTGAACGTTCTGAGGTTCTTCACGAAGTTGAAGTATTTACCGTCAACAATGATCTATGCAGTGAGCGTTATGAAGTTAACGATCCTCCTCGAGTTATAATATGAAACATGATCTGTGCCGGCTTCATTGATGTTGAAGACAAAGGTGCCTGCTATAGTGACTCTAGAAGTCCTCTTTTGCACGATAACATTGTTGGCGTCGTCACTTGGGGTGAAGGCTGTGCCCACGATCACGTTCGGAGTCAATATTGCTGTCTCATCGTATACAAACTGAATCATATAAAACGTTCTCTGAGAAAAGAGAGAGAGACTCTCTCTCTCTCTCTGTTTATATATCTTTTGAATATTTTTATTTTATTCTCTTTCTCCTTTTGTTTAGCTGTGAAAAGTCCACTGCACGTATAGAAGGCCTTATAGAAGGTATCGAAGATATCTTGTATGTGTTTATCAAAATTCGTTTTTTATAGAAAGGGGTGACAAAACAGATAGTCTACATGAGAGTAAGTGGATGCTGTGTTTCATAAACACATCTATCCTCGATTAAGATTCAAAACGTCCCTGCATTACATAATACTCTATTGAACTATATCTTAATAAATCATATTAACAAATCCACAAGACGTTTTTTTTTCACGTGTTTTTTGAACTATATCTTAATAAATCATATTAACAAATCCACAAGACGTTTTGTATGTATAAATCATATAATTAGTAACAATGCTTACGGAATTATTGCAATTAGGTTTGTCAAACCACAATACAGGGCAAATGCTACAATTACATGTACAACATCAAATCTATAGCAATTTGAAACATTGAACAACAAACAAACATCGACTTCCTGCATGTCTTACCACGTCGTCACTCCATCTAGTGGGGGGTCGCCCTACACTACGCCTACCGGTACGAGGCTGCCACTCGAGAACCTTTCTTCCCCATCGGTTATCGGTTCTTTGAGCTATATGGCCGGCCCATTGCCACTTCAGCTTACTAATCCGTTGGGCTATGTCGGTCACTCTGGTTTTACTGCGGATATCCTCATTTCTGAGTCTATCACGCAGAGAAACTCCGAGCATAGCCCTCTCCATAGCTCGCTGAGCAACCTTGAGCGTCCTCATACGGCCAGCAGTGAAGGACCACGTCTCTGATCCGTAAGTCATCACTGGCAACACGCACTGGTTGTACACTTTAGTTTTCAGAGATTTAGGTATACCTGATGAGAAGATGTGTCGTAATTTCCCGAACGCTGCCCAGCCGAGTTGAATCCGTCGATTGACCTCTCGGTCGAAGTTGGACTTACCTAGTCGGACTATTTGTCCCAGGTAAACGTACTCGTCAACAACTTCGAGCATAGTGCTCTCAACAACTACCGGCATAGGTATGACATGGACATCAAACATGATCTTTGATTTGTCCATGTTCATCTTAAGACCTATCCGTTGGGAGACTCCATTGAGGTCATTGCGCATAGTGCTAAGGTCCTCCAGCGATTCTGCCATAAGGACTATATCGTCTGAAAATCGAAGGTGAGTGATGTACTCGCCATTGATGTTAATACCGTATCCTTTCCAGTCCAGTAGCTTGAAAACGTCTTCCAACGCAGCGGTGAAGAGTTTCGGGGGATATAACGTCACCCTGTCTTACACCTCTCTGCAGTTGGATAGGTTTCGAACTCTTCTGTACTCGGATAGCCATCGTAGCCCTACTGTACAAACACTTCAGCACTTCGATATACCGACAGTCAACTTGCACCGCTGAAGGGACTGTAGCACCGCACAAATTTCGACGGAATCAAAGGCTTTCTCATAGTCCACATACGCCAGGCACAGTGGCAGATTGTACTGTTCGGTCTTCTGTACAATCTGCCGCAGGGTATGTATGTGGTCTATGGTACCGAAGCCTTTTCGGAAACTGGCTTGTTCGGGAGGCTGGAAGTCGTCGAGTCTTTTTTGCCCAACGATGATGTGTACAGCTGCCCATAGAACATCTCAATCTCACTCAAAATCTCAGGTGTCCCGGAAACGATGCTGCCACACTCAGTCTTCAGTCTTGACATTTGGCTCTTACGGGCAGACATATCTCTGGCAAAGACTTTGGAGCCCTGGTTCCGCTCGATCGCTTCTTTAATACGAGCAGTATTAAAGTTGCGTAAGTCTCGCCGCATGCATTTGGAAATCTGTTCAGTTGCCTGTATGCTGTCAAATCTGTTGACGATTGCAGCCTCAACTCCCGTCTAACAGCCATGAGATTAAGACTGTGATCGGAGAGTTTTTGTGTTCTTCTGCGGCGGGTTTTGAGAAATTAGCTCCGACCGCATGGACAGTTTCCACGAGCTTGTCATTCATATCGTCCACTGCATTGCAATCTTCTAGGCACTGAAAGCGGTTACGTAACTCGAGCTGAAAAGTCTCGGGATTCTGGATTAGAGCACGAGGGGGACGGAGCGTTGACCTCATTAGACGAGACCTCTCCAACTTAACGTTTAGGTTCAGTGTGACTCTAACCATTCGGTGATCGCTGCCGGTTTTCACCCTTGCGATCACTGAGACATCACTGAACAGTTGACGTCTGGTCGTCATAATGAAGTCAATCTCATTTTTTGTCGAATAGTCGGGGCTCGACCAGGTCCACCTCCTGTAGAGCCGCTTCTGGAAGAAAGAGTTCATCATAAAGAGTCCCTCGTTCTCCATAAAGTCAGCCAGCTGCTGGCCCTACGGTTCCGTTGCCCTACTCCAAATTTCGCTAACTTCAGCTCACCGCCTTCTCTTGCGCCTATTTTTGCGTTGAAGTCTCCCATCAACACTTAACATCAGGTGAACCTTATGCTCGTTTGCCCTCTCTTCTATAAAAAAGGGAACCCTAACAATAAATATAAAAAAAATCGTACAAAACCAATTCGTAAAAATAGGTTTTACAAAATAATATACTAAACTAACTAATATAGGCGTACACAAATAACACAATGTATGAATTGTTGAAGTTTTTTAAAAAGCTATTACTTTAGCAAAGAAAAAGTAACTTAAAATAAAATTTATACCTGCGTAAAATAGCCGGTTAATGCTGCTGTGGTTCGTATGGTGAGTGTAGAGATCCGGAGAACCTTTTTCTTGGAAATGAGACATTCCATCTTAGTCTTCAGAAGTTACAACAAATCTGCATTTTGATTCTTAATTGAGGATATATGTAGATGTCTAGAGGCTACAGCACCCATTACCATCAATAGGACTGTGTGCCCGTTTGTCATACCCTTATTTTATAAAAAATAAGAATAATTTGATAAATGCTTATTATAAAACTAATATCAAATTAAAATTTACTGTTTAATAAGGTGGGTGCAATTTAAAGCAGTTTAATGATAGTAATGATGGTGCTATTTGAATGGATTATCCGACATCAGTCGATCCAATATTGAAAGAAAGGTAACGAATAACATATGTATATTTCTATTTATAAACAAAAAATTTCTGAAATAACCTGATAATGGGTCAGGTAAAAAAAAATAAAAATATCACTGCCAGCGTTTATCTATCTAGACTCGTTCGTTGAGCTAGGTATTCCCGGGCATTCGATCAATAATTCCCACGTATCCCAGAATGTTTGTTACGCAAGCGCGGCAGCCATTTTGACGGGACATAGGCAATGGAGCCGGGATAGAATCTATGGAACGTTTGAAAACAAAAGACTGTAGTAACATTATAAATAATAATTCAGAAAAATGAGTCCAGAACGGGAAGCACAAGGTAAGGCTATATTATAATGATATTAATAAGACTTTTTTAAATGTAAATTTATTAAGAAAGTACGTAACCTCTCCTAAAACAATATTGACCGATTCCATTTGTGTTATTTTGTACTTATTTATTTATTTTTCTTTAAGATTTTTTTTAGTTAAGGTGAAAATGATAACTTACTATATTAGACAAATACTGGTATCGATGAGAAATTTTATTCACTTAAGTTAGAGAAGTAAAGTTTTGTTTTTGTTTGTAAATTTTCATCGATCTTTGCTTCACTTAGTATACAGAACTGATCTGGAACAGTGCTATTATTAATTTGATTTCTGATTATAATACCGTGAGGAAGATTGTGTGTAAGTTTTTAATAGCTGGTTTCGCATGCTATACAGTACATATAAAAATCATGAGACCATATATATCCATGACATAAAAATATTAAACATATTCCCTACTTAAGTGCTTTTTCATCTCGGACAGGAGAAAAAGAAGAACATATAACTTGACAAAATAATTAGAAATTTACTTTTTCTCTTGACATTTCGAGGTACCAATGAAACAGTAGAACAGACTCTACGAGCCTATACTACTGTTTCTACGCACCGTTTTTACGCATTGTTTGGACGCAGGTATTGAAATAGTCCCTACCAGCATACAGAACCTAAATAAGAACCGTCAGTTACCTCTACATAAAAATGTGTAGGTAAATGAATGATACAAGTACCAATAAATGATATTTTCGGTAAAATAGACATCATACAGTAATAAATTTTCGTCATATGTTACGATCGCAGTTGCAATACAAAACAACTGCTTCTTTTTTAGTGGTCCTAAACGCAACTTTTGATCATGGGGTCCCGGATTCGAGTTCCGGGTTGGACCAAAGGCAGATTATGATTTTTTCTGTCAATTAATTGCCAGTAAAAACACGGAGTCAGCAAGTTGTCGTTGATTCACTCCCGTACCCCGGAAAGCACGTAAAGTCTTTCATTCTACACCTGATCTCGCTTCGGTCGTGTCGGTTTGCCGTGAATGGGGACTGAGGTAGTAGACGTATTGGTGTCAAGGCGCGGGACCTACGGGCTTTAAGTTTTTTCTAAGGTACAGTGGTGAATCTACGGTAACTTCCTGACTCCGGGCTGCCACTGAGCATTTCCTGACAGAAAAACCCAATAACTGATTTTGGCTCGAGCCAGGATTCTAACCAAAAACCTCATAACCAGCAATCGCATTTACGACCAACGAGGCAATATTACATATGTATAGTTTGAAGGATTTGAAACAAAATAAGTTAAATCTTTCTTACATAAATTTATTTCAGAGATTTAAGTTTCACAGTAACTTATTCGAAGACAAAGACAGCTTTATACT